TACATAAAACTATATATTAGATTATATATTTAATAAAAAAATTACTGCCCTGTATGTGATCTGTAACTGACTTGCTGTGTGACTTTGGACAAGTTTCTTTACATCTCTGGGCCAAGATAAGAAGCTATGATGGTGAGCTCAGGCCTAGGCAGAGGCAATCCAGGACAGGAAGCGGGCTTGGCTGTTTGGCTGTGGATTGGCCCCAACCCTCACCTTCCCCATCCTGTGTGCCAGGCCCTTCCCTAGGCTTTGCATGTTATATCTCTCACATTCAGTCTCCAATGCATGCCCCTTTGTCCCTATTTTGCAACCTAAGATGCAAACAGAGGTGGGCCTTTGGTGGGCCAAATAGGAGATTGCTGCCTTAGGCGTCTGCCCCCACATCCCTCCTGCAGCCTGCTCACCTCTCCCTTCCTGGGCAAGGCTGACGCTGGGCAAGGCTGACGCCAGGAAGGCTAGGACACGAGTGTCTGGGGAGACTCCAGAAATAGCATGGGGCCTGGTGTGGCCCTGGAGGATGCCCAGCTGGATATCTCTGACCCAGACAGCTGGGCTGAAATTGAGCTGGGGCTACCCTACTGGCTGGCGCCCTCCTTGCTGCCCGGAGCCTTCCTGATCCTCCTCTGGGGCAGGTGAGGGCCTCCTGTCTCTACCCAAGTCTGGGTGGGCTTCTGCTGAAGAGAAGGAGAGAAGCAGGTGGAAGGAAGGGGTGAGGGTGGGGGTGCAGAATGTCATGCAAATTATAAACATCAGAAACCATACCTCCTGCCCTCTCGACAAAGAATGAAAATCACTAATACCTCTTGGGCACTCATTGTGTGCTAAGTACTTTATAAGTATGAACTCATTTAATTCCCTCAATACTATGATGTAGAGTAGTTACCACCATTATTATTTGCATCTCACAAAGGGAAACTGAGCACAGGAGAACTTTAGCAATGTGTACAAGGTCATCCAGAGCTGGAATTCGAGTCCATGGAGTCTGGCTTCAGACTCAGTATTCTCTCTGTCTCTCTCTCTTTTTCTATAAAATGTACATAAAATAAAATTTACTATTTTTACCTTATTTATTTACTTATTTATTTCATTTTTTATTGGGGAACAGTATGTTTTTCCAGGACCCATCAGCTCCAAGTCAAATAGTTGTTTCAATGTAGTTATGGAGGGTGCAACTCAGTGGCACATGAGGGGATCGAACCGGCAACCTTGGTGTTATGAGCACTGCACTCTAACCAACTGAGTTAATCGGCAGCCCCTATTTTAACCATTTTTAAGTGTACCATTCATTGGCATTAAGTACATTCACATTGTTGTGCAGCCATCACCATCTATCTCCAGAGCTTTTTCATCTTCTCAAATGGAAACTTCATACCCATTAAACACTAACTCCCTATTCTCCCCTTTCCCCAGCCCCTAGGAACCAGCATAGCATTCTACTGTGTTGCTATGAATTAGACTACTCTAGGTGTCTCATATAAGTGGAATCACACAGTATTTGTCCTTTTATGACTAGCTTATTTCACTTAGCATAATGCCTTCAAGGTTAACCTGTGTTGTAGCATGTGTCCGAATTTCCTTCCCTTTTAAGGCTAAATAATATTCCATGATATATTTGTACCACATTCGTTTATTCATCTGTTAATGAACTCTTGGTTTGCTTCCACCTTTTGGCTATTGGGAATAATGCTACTATGAACATGGGTGTACAAATATCTGTTCAAGTCCCTGCTTTCAATTCTTTTGGGTCTATCCCCAGAAGTGAAGTTTCTGGATCCTCTGGTTAATTCTATTTAAAAAATTTTGCCTAACTGCCATACTCTTTCCACAGTGGCTGCACTATTTTATATTCCCAGCAGTGTACAAGGGTTCTAATTTCTCCACATCCTCACCAACACTTGTTATTTTCTGGGGTTTTTTTTTGTTGTTGTTGTTGGTTGGTTGGTTTTTCTTTGATGATGGCCATCTTAATGACATGGTATCTCACTGTGGTTTGGATTTATTATATATGTCCCTAATGATTAGTGATGTTGAGCATCTTTTTATGTGCTCATTGTCCATTTGTAGACCTTCTTTGAAGAGCTGTCTATTCAAGTGACTCTGCACTCTTAGACTTGTAACCTCTGAGAGAAGTGGTTCAACATTCTGGAGGGGATGAGGGCCTCACCCAGGAGCTGGGCACTGGAGCATCTGGTTGTGGAGTAGTTATCACAGCTCACGCTTTGGTGGCGTTTGTCCTGCACAGGCCTCTGGGAGGGAGGCACTGTCAGGACTCCTGCTTTACAGTTGGGGAAACCGAGGCATGGAGAAGTTGAGTATCTTACCCAAGGTCTCATAGTTGACCACTGGTGGAGATGGGATTTGAACCCAGGCAGGACAATTCCAGAGTCCATGCTACAGAAGCGGCCAGGGAGATGGAATGGAAAAGCGCACTCTGGGCAGCGGTGCCAGTGTGTGCAGAGGTTTGGATGTGGCATCTGGAGGTCTGGAGACAGAACAGGGCTTAGCTAGAAATGGTTGGAGCCCGGCTTAAATGGGGGCGACTTGAGGTTGGAGGAGGAGTGGGGCAGGTTGGGGAAGGCCTGGGGCAGGGTCGGGGGTTGGGAGGAAGCTTGGTGCTGAGGGGCCTTGGCTTTTGAGGTGGCTTAGTTCCAGTCCTGCCACCTCGTCAATGGTGTCCCCTCTTGTTTATGGCCCCTGGAGGAAGAAAGTATGGAAGAGTATGGTGGAGTTCCCAGCCCAGTGGGGAGATGGGAAACAAGTGACAGATAAGTGAATATCTAAAATGACAGGGTATGATGAATATTTGGAAGGGAACAAAGTGGGTGAAAGAATTGGCAGGAGTCTCAGAGTGATCAGGGAAGCCTCTGTGAGTAGGTGACATTTGAAATGAGACCTGAGAGGTGAGGGAAGACGTTTCAGGCAGAGAACAGATGCTGCCAAGGCCCTGAGGCAGGAAAGACCTTGGTGTGTTCAGGAACAGCAGGGAGGGCTATGTGGCTAGAGCAGAAAAGTTTGGAGATGAGGTGGGAGAGGAGGGCTGGGGCTGGATCCTGGAGGTCGTGAGGGCCGAGTGGAGGTTTGGATTTTATTCTAAATGATGGGGACCCACAGGGGATTTTAAGTAATGAGACCTGATTTCTGTCGAGAAAACATTGCCATTATTGTCCCCATTTTATAGCTGAGGAAACTGAGACCCAGAACCACAGCCAGGGAGTGCTATGTGGCTGATGTTCTCCCTCTGTAGTCGAGAGAGGCTGAAATTCCTTGGGAGTCCCTTGGTGAGTGGCTAAAGCCCAACACTGGAGACTTGGCCCTGTGTTCTCCCCACCCCCCATGCCTGTGTTCAAATCCTGGCTCTGCCATTTACCAGCTGTGTGACTTCAGGCAAGTGGCCCTACCTCTCTGTGCCTCAGTTTTCTCAACTGTAAAGTAGGCGCAATAGTAATACCCATCCCACAGGGTGGGTATGAGGATCAAATGAACTAACATATATAAAGAGCTTAGGACATTGCCAGGTACAAGGAAAGCACTCAGTAAAGTTCTTATCATTTTATTATGAAAATTGTTATTTTTGCTTTGCCTTTACTACTAGTAGTGCCTAATTGAGCTCTCCCTGACTCCATTGTTGCCTCAGTGGAGGGTCAGGCAGGACCCAGAAGGCCATTGTGGGAACGATGGTCTTGTAGTCTCCCTCACCCCCTAAAATCAGGCCCCAGGGCCTGGAGGAGTTCTCAGGGTTGACTCACTCCCAAGGGAAAGAGAGCTGTTCCCTGAGTCACTTCCTGTCCCCTCAAGCCCTTCACCCCAATCCTGGTACAAATCCCACCATGCAATGACATGGAACTGGGCCATCTTCAGCCTCCCCAGGGTTTGAAGCTGGGGGCACTTCCTTCTCTGGGCCTCAGGATCCCTGTGGAAACTGGCCTAGTCAAACGTGCCACCTGAAGCGACGTAACAGGGCTTGGGCTGGCAGAGGAGACAATCACCTCCCAAGGATTCCTTATTGTGGGACTACTGTCTCCTCTAAAATGGGGATTAAATAGTTCCTCCTTTGGGAGTGTGTGTGTGTGTGTGTGTGTGTGGTGGGGGGCAGGGTTCAGAGATTTAAATAAGTACAGTGCCTGGCACTCAATATTTGTAGTTATTATTAGTACTATTATTGCTGTTGTTACTAATGTTTATAGCTTGCTCAAAGCTTCTACAGGCACTCTCAAGACCTCAGAACTCACGTTGTCCTGGCCTGGAAGGTGGGCCACTCCTCGCTTGAGAGAGTGGTGGTCCAGATAGGTCCAACAACCTGTTCAGGGACACACAGCTAGACAGGGGTGGCATTAAGGCTTGGTCTGGAGGGAAAGTGCCCAGGTTGGACTCCTCAGGGTGACTCCCGGCAACTGACTCAGCCTGTCCCAGCCTCAGTATTCTATTAGTCAAGGGGGAATAATAATAGAGCTCACCTCATAGGGGTTGTTGGTGAGATTAAAATACGTTAATTAATACCAGGAAAAGCACTTTCTCATGCCTGGCACAGTGAACATTAACTTGGGAACACTGTGGCTGTGGGAGAGGGGGACTCAGTTTTTCCATCTTCAAGATGGGGTGCTCTTGCCCGAGCGGGCCACGGGGACTCCACGCACCAGATGTGCGGATGCGGCCAGTGAGGCTGTAGAATGGGCGGCCCGGGCTCACAGAAGAGCTTCCTGGGGTGGGCGGGAGATGGGGGCGGCTGGGACCGGGGCCTGGCGCTGAGCCGACTGCCAGCACATCTGGGCTCTGGTTCAGGCTGCTGCCGGCTTTCGTCTTTTATTTTTGGGTAATACCTGGGCCGGCGGGTTCACCTGCCTGCGGCAGGCCGCCGGAAGTTGCGCAAACGCGTGTTACCTGAGCCCCGGGTGGGCCGGGCCAGAGGAGCGCCATGTAGTGGCGCGGCTGCAGCCAGGTATGTGTGGGCCGGGGGCCCCCGGCCAGGGTTGGGGGCGGCCCGGGCACCCCTCCTCCTCGGGAAGGCGGGGACAGGCCAGGGGCTCACCTTTCAGCTTGGATGAGACCGCTGAAGCCGTGCTGTCAGCCCCCTCATTTAAGGGCCAGGCCAACCCGGGCTCAGAGAGGGGCGGTGAGAGGCTAGAGCTACACAGCGCGCGGCTTCCGCCGCTGGGATTCCCCAAGATTGCTCCGAAGTGGGGAAGGGCAGAAGCTAGAACGGGAATCCGAGCTGCCCGCACTCCCTGTCTGCAGCCTCTGATGCTGCCTCCCGGGAAGCCGGCGGGGACGGGGTAAGATGGGGCTGCATGCCCCGGGAATGCCAACAAGAAGGGCCCGGGGCCAGCGCGTTTGGGGCCATTTATGGGTAACGTTTGAAATTCGTGGGCGCTGGATGATGAGAGGAGGCCCCAGAGATTCATAGAGAACGAACCCCATCGAGGGACCGGGACCCTGGCTTCAACTCGCAGGATCCGCCACACCTCCGTTTGTCCACCTGTGAAATAGGGCTTGTTTAGATCAGCTCCCTGATTAGCCTCTGTCATATGCCTCCTTTGTTTGTTGTCCCATCCCAGACAGACCCTTCCGGATCTTGTTTAGAGACCCCTGCGAGGGGGGCGGTCTGCGGAGTTGGGTCAAAGTCCTAAGAAAAACGAGGAGCCCTGTTCTTGGAGCATCGCCTTTTTGCCAGGTGCTGAGGAATGTCCTCGACCTGTTGTATCTCTCCATCCCCTCTCGGTGACCTGGAGGCCCAGAGAAGTCTATTTATAACCGCATTTCACAGATAAGAAACGGAGTCTGTGAAAGGCGAGGCTGCTTGCAGGAGGCGCACAGCGGACAGGTGGGCGAGCCCCAGGCAGGCAGGCGGGCCAGTGGCCTCAAAGCCCGGCACCGCTCCTCACATCTGACCCTGGGGTCAGCAGGTCAGGCCAGAGGGGGAATGCCCTCCCCCCCAGCAGGTGGCGCGCGGGGCTTTTGCCTTCCTCCCTGTTTCCCCGATGGTGGCCCAGAGGGAACCACCGCCATCGACGGGTTGGACTGGTTTGGGAGGTGGCAGCCCGGGGGTGGGGCAGAATCTAGCTACCTCTACAGGGCTAGCAAGGCTGCCTTTCCTGTCAGACCCTTCCCTCCCGAGGTCTTCTGGGGGTCGTCCCTGAGTGGAGTAGCCTTCCTTTCACGCCTACTCCATCCCTTCTACCTGGGGAGCAACTCTGGCTCTTGGCCAAAAGCCCCCCCCCCCCCAGTATGTGTTCTCAACTTGCCATTGCCGCGGAGGTTTCAAACTGGGGCTGGGGGCCAGATGGAGAGGCGGAGGTGGCAGGTATTTTTGCAAATATGTTTGTCCCCTCCGTGCAATGTTGTTGTTGTTTTTTTTAATTACTATTATTGACTATGCTAACATTTTAGAATCTGGAGTTTTCCTGCACTTCTGGATTTCCAGCTTCCTAGAATATTCTGCACTTACCACCTTGGACCCATTGCCTACAGTAGGCTGGGTGTGCCCCTCTCCAGTTTCTCCCAGGTCTGCCCATTCACATTTGGCCCCCATAGGCATTTCAAATCAATAAAAGTTTATTGAATACCTATTACGCGTCGAGAGCAATACCTTGAAACTGAGATACAGTGAACAAAACAGACTCCACCACCCCTGCCCTCATGGAGGAGTGGGAACAACAAAGAGTAACGCTATATACATAATAGATGAGTGAATTAGGCTTATATGAGCTTGTGTCTCATTTATCTGCTCTGGGACCTAGGTTGGTCATTTCTTTGAGCCTCAGCTTCTCCATCTGTGAAATGAGGTGACAGTGACCTATCTCACAGGCTTGTTGGAGGATTACAGGAGAGGATGGTGTCAAATGTCTAGCACACTGGAGATCCCTGCCTTCCCAACCCAATCCACATTCCCCCTGGAACTGTGGATGTCTGGGTGGGACTGTCCAATATAGCTTTCTGTTTATGGATGGAAATGCTCTAATTTGTGCTGTTTATTGTAGTGACCACTATCCACATGTGGCTACTGAGCACTTGAAATGTGGCTAGTGTGATTCAGTAACTCAATTGTAAGTTTTTATTTAATTTACACTTAAAGCTAAGGTTGTGGCTAGTGGCTATTGATTTGGACAACACAACTCTAGATGGCCTGAACTACAAGTCAGCTTGGGGATCACCTAGACAAAGTCCTCCTCCCCCAGTTAACAGATGAGAAAGTTTGGGACTTGGTCTACAGGTTGTCTTCTGGTCCATCTCCAGGGAGGCTGCAGGGGCACTTTGTGGACCCAGCCCTTCTTTGGAAGAAAAGACAAGGGTGCCTCGATGCCTTGGTTACCAGGCCCTGATGCCTAGGTGTGGGCCCTCCCTGCCTATGGGTGCCCATGCTATGGCTGCTGGCAGATCAAGAGTCTGCTGGATGCCCCCCAAGCAGGGCTATATGATCTTGGGTATTTTTGGCTACTCTTGGAGCAGCATAGCTTAGGGCTGACGTTTTCCTGTGACAGGCACACATGGGTCACCATGGGCCTGGCATTGGAGTCCCAGACTGGAAGCTGATGGTGCCTGGACTCCACTGGAGCGGGGGTGGTGATTTTCTATACTCCTTTCCCACAAGCTCTGCTGCTGTGCCTGGGGCCTGGCATGTCTAGGCGGGTGGATGGCACAGGGCAGCTTCCTGCCTGGGTGGGTGAGGGTTGGAGGTGGTACCATGCTCCCTGTGGGTAGTAGAGGTGGGGGTGGTGCCCTTTCTCTTGGTCACCTAACCCCAAGACCCCTGAGTCAGCATCTTGCTTGGAGGCAAGGAGCAGAGCCACCAACTTGCTGAATTAGCTTAATCAAGTTGGTTGCCTCCCTGGGCTTCAGTTTCCCCATCTGCAAAACGGAGCTGTTAAGAGGACCCACTGAGGTTGAGTCAGCTCGTACGCAGCACACAGCTCGGAGCCCACTTTGCTTCCTTTAAAATGTGCCTTGCCCTTTCTTTTCTGCTCAGGCTGCCCATGTTTTTTTCTTTTGCACCTTTTTTTCTCTGCATTAGCTGTGCCGGGTCCTGGGAGGAGGGCAGTAGTGTGGGCAGAGCCAGAAGCACTTCAGCTGGTGCTTTCTGTCTTCTGATTGGCTCCCTGTGAATCAGGGGCGTGGCATTTACTTTTAATAGGAAAGGCGTCTCAGCCTCTTCCAATCTTTGCTGAGCCTTTGTCTGAGCTGCTCAGCCACTCTTTCTTTCCCCCCCTGCAGCGGTTGCCGGCGTCCAGCTGCCAACTTTCTGCCTGGATCTCTGTCTCCTCACTTCTCCGATCTCCTCATACAGAAGCAGTTGGGGTATGTAATAGCCATGCCTGTGGACACGATGTCTCCCGGAACCCGTGACACCCCCGCCCTACCTTTCCGCCTGCGGACTAAGGTCCCCGGCTACCTGCTACGGCGGCCAGCAGATGGTGGAGCCCGGAAACCTAGTGCTGTGGAGCGCCTGGAGGCAGACAAGGCCAAGTACGTCAAGAGCCTGCATGTGGCCAACACCCGCCAGGAACCTGTGCAGCCCCTGCTGTCCAAACAGCCACTCTTCAGCCCTGGGACTCGCCGCACAGTGCTCACTTCTAGCCGTCGAGCCCTGCCTGGCCCTGGCCGCCGACCCCAGCTGGACCTGGACATCCTTAGCAGCCTCATCGACTTGTGTGATACTCCAGTGTCCCCCGCCGAGGCCAGCCGTACCCCTGGACGGGCAGAGGGAGCCCGTCAGGACCCCCCAGCCACTCCCCCACGCCCGCCGCCCAGTACGACTGCGGTCCGCCGAGTGGATGTCCGTCCCCTGCCGGCCTCACCTGCCCAGCCCTGCCCCTCACCAGGCACTCCAGCCGCCTCCAGCCCTGCCCGGCCCCCGGGTTTGCAGCGCTCCAAGTCGGACCTGAGTGAGCGCTTCTCGCGGGCAGCTGCCGACCTGGAGCGGTTTTTTAACTTCTGTGGCTTGGACCCAGAGGAGGCACGGGGGTTGGGTGTGGCCCACCTGGCACGGGCCAGCTCAGACATCGTGTCCCTGGCGGGGCCTAGTGCTGAGCCAGACAGCTCCGAAGGGGGCTGCTCCCGCCGCAGCTCCACCACTGTTGAGGAGCGGGCCCGGGAGCGCGTCCCCTATGGCGTGTCGGTGGTGGAGCGCAACGCCCGAGTGATCAAGTGGCTGTATGGGTTGCGGCAAGCGCGGGAGACCCCCGCGGCTGAGGGCTAGGCCTCCACTGGACTGGGCATTCGTTCCAGGGCAGATCTTAGAGAGGCAATTGGTCCCTTGACCCCTTCTGCATCCATTCCCTGGTTTGGAGCGGACCAGAGGCTGCCTGCTGCCTTGTGTGAACTAGGTATGGAGGCAAAGGCTGGACCAGCGTCCATCTGGCAAGGACTGACCCTGGAGAGAGTTAGTTACCTCCTGACCTTGGACCACTCCCTATTCCTCACATGTAGGGGTTTTGACATGAGTGTACCTCTGCTGGGTTCCTCTCGTGGGTTTGGGGCACTTAGCTCCCCCCACTGAGAATGAGCCAGGGATCTTACCAGGCCTGTCTACCCAGTGGCTCTGTTTCTTTCTCCCTTCCTTGGCCTCTGTCTTTTGCTGACTTCCTCTTCCTTACTCACTGGGCTCTGGATCTCTGGCAATTCACCCTGGGGTGGGGGAAGGGAAGAGTGGTGTATCCACTCTTCTTCTCAGGCTTTGGCAACCTGGCCTAGGTGGGGAGACTACAGTAGGGACTGGTGGGAGTTTGCACTGCTCTGACTTCCCTCCCTTTGGTTAATAAATACAAATGCTTGTTTTTCAAGGGCTGGGTCATCAGACTCTTCTGTGTTTACAAGGGGAAGAGGTGGGAGAAGTCTTGGGGTGGAGTCTTCCAAACCTAGTAATTGTTCACTCTAGGTTTTGGAGAGGCATGAGGTCAGTGGTTGGCCTGGCCTGAGGGATCCTCATAACCCCTCTAGGAGGCTGGTGGGCCTCCTTTGTAGAGGAGGAAACAGGGTCTGGCCACCGAATGAATCGGGATAGAGCTGGGGCTGGAACTGGGTGGGGCCTTTTCCCTGGACCAGGAGGGGAACTGCAGGGGAAAGGCTGACATGATTATGGACCCCCCCCAGATCATGAGTACTCTGACGTCCCCCACCCCCTGCCTAGTTCCTGAGGCGGCAGGAAGCTCAGAGAGAGCAAACCCTGAACTTGAGGTCACACAGGCCATAGAGTGGGGTTTGGAAGTGGGAGTTCTTAGAGGAAGAGGGACTTGGGGTGGACAGCACAAAATAACTGGATTTGCCTCCAACTCTGAGTGACCTTGGACAAGGCAGTCTCCCTCTCTGGGCCTCATGGGTGAGTTGGGCAGCACAGTCTTCTCTGGGTTGGGGGAAGGGAAAGGAGGCCGCTGGCACTGGGCTTTGAGGCCTCAGCTCCTTCCCGGCTCCCTTCAGGTTAGCTACCTGCTAGGAAATCTCACCTTGGCGGGTGGAGCAATCGGTGCTATGGCCCAGGGACACAAAGGGTGAGAGCCTGGGTGGCCTCTGCCCACCTCTAGGGTAGGAGAGGGGCTGGGTTGGGTGGTGCTTCCTTTCTGAAGGCTGCCTTGGCTGCAGCGCTCAGAAACAGGAAGTTCTAATGGGGGCCCTGGTGACAGGTTTGATGTAGGTTTTATTTTAAGCATAAAGAGGAGATTTCCGCTGGGCTGTTGACAAACATCCAGGTCAGCCCAGCTGTCTGTCTGTCTGTCTGACAGTCTACCACCAGCCTCCTGGGGATTGGGATAGGCCAGGGCAGTTTGGGGAAACAAAGGGAAATTGGGTTATAGAAGAGGATACCATTCCAGCCCATGAGAATGGAATCTACCCCTTCATGATACAGATGGGGAGACTGAGGCACGGGGAGGGTGATGATCAGCCAGCCTACAGGCACCCAAAGGTTTAACATTGCAGGAGCTGGGCCTCCTGGTCCCCATGTTAAAGGAGTGATGGGGTCAGGGGGATAATCTGGGCAGGCTCTGCAGAGGTGGTGTCTTTTGAGGTGTCAAAGACCAGTCCCTCCAGGCAACGTGACCAGAATTCTGTGCTAAGTGTTGCCCCTTGCTGTGTGACCTGCCAGCCCGTAGAAACACAAGAAGGTAGATATGTTGGCTGCATTTTTCATGTGAAGAAATTGAGGTTCAGGTTATAGGACTGGTGGGTGATGGGCTGGGAGGCCCTGTGTTCCGGGAAAGGGCTTAAGCACTGGGCTTAGACCCTTCACATTCACCTTGTCCCTGAATCCTCAAAGTGACCTTTGGAGGGTCACCTTAGAAGGTTGCCTCTTGTCTTTGAGCAGGAAAGGCAGTGGCTTGTAGGCTGTCCCAGAGCAGGTCTGCACTCCAGCTTGGGGTCACATCCTGGCCTATATGGACACCCCAAAGTCAACAGCACTCTGGCTCCCTGGTTCTCCCGACACGTGCCTCACCTCTTCCCCATCCAGGCAGACTTTCTTCCTGGTCACTTTATTGAGCACCTACTGGGTGCCACGCAGTGGGTAAGACAGTCATAGACCCTGTCTTGGGGTGGAGAGGGGATGGGCAGCTAAGCAGTGAGCACATAGTCATATAATGTGGAGCAGGTGTGTTCAGGGACTTCTGCCTGAAGACCAGAGCTGTTCCCAGGAGCTGGGCGGAGGTAGCAGAGAAGGCACTGGGAGGGCCTGTTGGAAAGAGAGCAGGGTGGGATTCTTAAAAGTGGGGAAGGTGCCAGTCTGAGCCTTGACTTCTCCAACAGAAGTTTCCTGGCTCGGGAGGGCTTCCCCTCCATCAGGATTTTGTAGCCTACCACCTTCCCATGTGGGGACCTCTGGAGGCAGCGGCTTGGGGCTTCTGCTACTCCTCCCTACCAGCCTGCCAGCCTCAGGGATCTGCAGAAACAGCCCCTCTATTGTTCCGCCCCCAGTTGGAGTGTGAGGGTCAGTGAGTGGCAGGCTCTGTGTTTCAGTCCCTCTAAGGGCCTGCAGCTGCTGCCCCGTCCCCTGGGGTTGCCTGGCCCCTATAGCAGCTCTCCCAGGCCAGACTGGCCCCAGCTGCCTAGCCCCTAATTAGGTAGAGATGAGATCTGCCCCCTGATCTATTTCCCACCAGCTAATTATATACACGTGGGCTTGGGAGACTGGCAAACTGGCTGCTCACTCCTGTCATGAAGGTGTGATGGGCCCCTGGGAAAGGCACCTGATCCCACCTGCCAGACTTTCATTTACCCTCTTGGCAGAGGATGAGATGTAGCCAGAGGGCCCTGTTCCTGACCCTGGTGAAATGGTTCTGGCCCTGTTACTGAGGCATTCAAAGGGATCAGGGGTAGGAGACCTCCACCTTGCCTGACATCCTGGGGGAGCAGCGAGGGACTGAAGAAATTAGGCTATAGGTCCCTGGCTCTAGGATCTCAGGGTAGGGTGGGAACATGGGTGAGATCATGATGACAGCTGTCTCCCAGATAGACATACACACAGGAGGGTTTAGAGTTGTTTGGGTCCATCCAGGCCCAAGACAGAACACCACATTCAGATTTTTAAAAATTTAATATTATTTTTCAGATAATACATTCATATATTTCCTCCAACACTTTAAGAAAAACTTCAAACTTAAAGAAAATTTGAAAGAATTATACAGTGAACACGTGTACTTACCTACTAGATGTGCAATTCTTAATATTTTGCTAGATTTGCTTTATCAGGCATCTCTTCATTTATCCATCCCTCTTATCCATCTATTAAGACATCTTATTTTTTGGAAGCTTTTCAAAGTAAGTTGCAAACAACAGTACACATCCCCTTAAAGGCATTTTAGCATGCATAACATTAGCTATAGTTCAATACTGTTTGTTTACAGTTCTTTTTTCTTTTTGTTTGGGAGGTAGAGGTAAACGTTACATACAGTGAAATGCACAGATCTTAAAAGTACTTTTGCTGAGTTCAGACGAGTGCATACTGTACTCCAAACCCCAATCAGGATATAGAGCAACAACACCATCAACGGAAATTTCCCTCATTTTCTTTCCCTGCCAATTCCTGTCCCTACCTCATGGGCGTTATCTGTATAAATTAAATAGTACTAATAAAAAACATCCTCTTGTCCTGTACTTCTCACTCCTAGCCCTGCTCCCCCCAAAACAACCACATTCAACTCTTTTAACTATTTCTTCTGGTACTTTCCTCCATATTTCTAAGTAGCAGGCTTTTCCTGCTGTTTTCTTGATTCATTTTAGGTAAATATTGACCGACTTTCTGGTTTGATGTCTTCACAGTGTGGCTTTTGCAGCCTGACTGCCTGGGTTTGAATCCTAACCCTTGATCTGACTGGCCATATGACCCTGGGCTAGTGAGTTAACTTTCTTGTGCCTCAGTTTCCTCATTTGTGAAAGGAGACTAATAAGAATATTTAAGTGGTTGCATTGTTGTGAGGATTCACCTTGTAAAGTGCCTAAAATAATGCACATTACCCACTAAGTGGTCAAAGCCGTTTCTTTTTATAATTATTATTATCAAGGAAAATTGCACTGTTCTTACTCTCCTCTTCTTTCAATCTACATTTATCACAATTTTCCATTAAATGAATATTTAGTATTATTTCTATTACAACTATATAAGAATTATTTCCTGCTAAGCCAAATCACATGTTATGGTTACAATCCCTTTCTTGTGAAGCTCTTGGTTTCTTTGTTTTGTTTTGTTTTTAAAGATTTTTATTGGGTAATTGGGGGAAGGGGAACAAACAAGTTGCTGTTGTTTTGTTCTTCAGTCTAGTTGTGGAGGACGTTGCTTCACTGGCCCAAGTTGGCACCATCATTGCGCTCTTCCCGGGGGAGGCAGTCAATCACCGGCTTCTGGATGGCCGCTCACGCTGGCTGCTGGCTACACACGGTAGCCCATGGCAACCCACCTGCTGTTGCCAGCGACTCCTGGCAGCCCAGCACCAGATCGAGCTGTTGTTCAGCATCTTAGCTGTAGAGGGCAGTGTCACTGGCCCTCATATGTGGGATCCGAACCGGGGCCCTCTGACATCCCAAGCCAGCTCTTAACCAACGCGCCACTCAGCCGGCCCCTCTTGGTTTTTCCTTGTAGTTACTACCTGCTTTGTTTTTCATTCCCTTAGTTTCCTCTTAACCCATCCTTAATCCTCAGACAGCCTTAATTTCCCCATAGTTACACATAAAGAGGATAATTTATTATATTTATTAATATATAATATATATTAATTTATTATATCCTCTCTGTGTGTAACTATGGGGAAATTAGCTATGTGTAATTATGGGTGCTTTTTAACACCCCTGTCCCAAGTAAAAACAAAGAAATAGTGGAACCAATTTTAAAAATAGACTCTCAAGCACAAGCGCAATGTGTAAGATAATCATTTGTGAGCACCAGCTGTGTGTCGCTGCCCATGTGGGTCTCTAAGCGGGATAAACACTGAAGCCATGGCCCCTGCTGCCAGGCCTCTCCATTTACCCACGGGAACCCTCAGCACCAGCTGCTCACTGGTGCCACCCTATGGCCCACTCTGTGGCCTTTCCTTTAGTCACCCATTCATTCAACAAAAGTCTGCTGGGTCCTTCTCCATGCCCTGCACTGTGCTGACCTGTGCCAGGGACATAGAGCTTGGGCAATGTCGACCTACCCATTTCCAGCTGGCATTTTCATTGACACGTTAGCAGCCAGGACAGTGGTTTGAATAGAGGTGTGTGTGGTATTGGGTGATGGCTGGTGTGTGTGTATGTGACCTGTAAGGGACATGTGAGCATCTTTGTGGGTGTTGAGAGACTTTCAATGGAAGGCCATTTG